GCCCCTTCAAATGTAAAGTACTTTTACAAGGGAATTTGGAAAAAAAAATATTGTTTTGGCTGAACGCAGGAGTCGCCTTTTTACATTTTTCGGCATTTAGAGGCGGAGCTTAAAGATATATCGATGTTCCTCTTTTCCAAAGATCATTGATCTCAAGTACCCCGTTCTAGTACTTATCCACCAGTCTCAGTTCTTATCACCTTAACGTACCACCCTGTTGTCAGTAAATTAAAGCTCACCAAAAATTATTAAACTTTAGCGGGTATGGCCATGTGTGCATACGAAAAATTTCGAGGCATTTCCTATCGCTGCAAGGTAAGCCAATATTTTGCAAAAAAGCATATCAAGATAAATGCGACTCTGTGCTAGCTGTTTTGTTGATGTCATTGCTACAATTTCTCTCATTCCTTTCATCTTACTCCCTCAATTTTTTTGGTGTATCTTGTTATTGTGTTTGATACAAAATTTCGCTGCTTTGCAATGGGATGCTCTCGTGCTCTTGCAAATTTGGAATAGTATTTTTGTATTTCGTGCATCGTGCAAGACTTCGAGAATACCCCTAATATATTTTCGAATATAAATATTTAGTTGCATTTTTTGCACAAGCTTTATTTTTGTTCTCCTTTTTTATTTTTACTAAATGTCCTAGTTTTGCTATTATTATTATTAGTTTAACAGCCGCACTCAGAAACATTAATCAAATTAATTCTAACAGATAATTAAAAGTATGTTCACATATCAATATTATCTCAATCAAAGCTCGTTTTTAATCACCCCGTTTACACAGGCAAATCTCAGATTATTAGCCGTCAAATTTGTTGTGCCTGTTATTCTCACATCTCAAGGAAAAGTTATGTTTCTTCTCTGTGCCACCGTGATCACGTTTTTCTGCTATAATAAGCAATATAAATATATTTTAACTTAACATTTTATTAAAAATACCTTTACAAACCTCTTTTCCTTGCGAGCGTCCATTTTTGTTTACTTTTACATTTGGCATTTCTCCTCTTTTTGGCAAAAACAATCGATAAAACTAGGATGGACACCGAAAAGTTATCGGTTAAATGTGAGATTATTTTATAATTGTTCTAATTACAGGTTAGGGTGTTAAGCGCGAAAATGAGGATAATCTACTTATATGTGAACCTAGTATAACTGATGATCGTTAAATCTCTTCATTAAAGCAAAAAAATAATAATAATAATTAAAAAGCTTTCTGAACATTAAATGAAATTTAATTTTTTTTTATCTTTTAAACAATAAAACTTAAAAATTAATTAATAATAGAAAAAATTCCGTTTCCGAGAATTTGAACTCGGATCTCTCGAATGGCACGCCAGTGCTTTGCTCACTGGGCCATTGCGACTGTTGCAGCAACGTTAGAGAAATCGAGATTTGCTGAAAACAAACAAAAAACTTCATAATCATTCATTAAAAGTTAAGTTAAGGCCCATCCACATACAAATTTGGCGTTGCGTTGGCGTCGCCCCAACAGCTGACTATGAATACATGAATTATAATGCAACGCTAACGTCAACACAAAGCAGAACGATGGCCAACTCTCAAATTTTCGCGTGCGTCGTTTATCAGCTGTTGTAAATAATTAAAATTATGTAAAATCTTTTTCCTTTTTAATCAAATTCGGGCAATAAATATCGTTATTCATGCAATTGTTTATATGAAATATTAATTCATCTGTCGTTAGTACATATGCTAATTTAGTGGCCAAAGTATTCGCTGCCAAGCGTTCATTGTAGCAAGCATACTTTTAACATGCCAACGCCAACACCACAGCCAACGCTAAAGTTCCATTTGTACCGGCCTTAAAGGTTTTTCTTTACGTAACTTTAAATGCTGTAAATGAATAATTAACTGAGCGCGAATTTTTTCAAATCATTAGTGAGTAATATCTTAAGTAATCATTAATCGGCTCTGAGTACGGCTGTAATTCCCAATTTTTATATTAATTATATTTGTCTTTACCTTTATATTTAACTTTACTTTATCGCTATCTCTATTATTGTCCTCATCGTTATCTTTAACTTTATCTTTTTTTGTATGTTTATCTTAATGTTTATCTATATCCTTAGGTGTATCTTTTTAATTTTCTTTGGTTGTATCTGTATCTTCTTCTTTATCTTTATCTATCTTTATCTTTGTCTTTATCTTTATCTTTATCTATACCTTTATCTTTATCTTTATCTTTATCTTTATCTTTATCTTTATCTTTA